AGGCAAAATGCCATCACCCCTCATCTGAGCCTCGCTTCTTAAAGACCTGGGAAGCCCCGAAGCAGCGCTCACCGAGCACGCCCAAGGCCGGTGCTGTTCAGTCCCACAAGCCGGTGGCTGACAGTGCAGCCTTTGTACTCGTGCCATGTTTATAGGATTTATTTACCAGCATGGTCATTTTCATGAGGCGTCTAACCCAGCCCTGTCTCTGCGGGACTGCTCAGATGGTCCACAGACTGACAACCCCTACACAGGATGGTAGACAATCCACAAGAAGGGATTTAGGGGTCCTCCAGTCCGACTGTGCTCACTGTGTGGCCAACAGATAAGTTTTATTTCTTCCTTCCCTGCCTTTGCGCCTCCCTTCCTCTCACTGGAACAGCAGCTGGCTCAGGGGAGGCAGGAAATGGAAGCAGCTGACAAGGGCTTTGCCTTCATCTTCCACAAGCCTAAGCTTTTGGGGGGCTGGGCATGGCCACAGTGTCTCGGCCAGAAGTAAGGGGGACAAGGACCTTCTTCCCAAGAGAAGAAAGGGCCCTTGGCTGGGGCCAGGTGGAGGAAGAATGAGGGGCCTGAGAGAGGAAACCAGTGGCCTGCCCCTTGGCAGTGCCAGGCGGCTACCATGTCTCCAGAGAGGAAATGACAGCCCTGCACAAAGTTTCTGTCACCTACACATACATGGCCTGGAAGGTGTCAGAGGGCTGCTCAACCATAAGAGGTCTCGCAGGACGAAGGGTGTGGCTAGGAGCATCCCTAACCGGGAGTCATACATGTGCCCTCTCCACGGGCACCTCTCCCACCACGGGCTCTGGCACCACCTAAACCTGCCTCAAACTGCTGCACAACCCCCAGGGAACAAGGCAGACCAAGAACGATTGAGATGGAGTTGTCCACCGTCCCGGTGAAATGAGCATCAGATCCAGACATTATAGAAGAAGATTAAATGCTAGAGTAAAGTTCGTTTCTTTCCCTATTGATTTGAGGGACTACAGTTAATACCTGGCACGCACCAGTGAGAAAGCTGAGGCTCAGAGAGGGCGTACGAGCAGCCCAAGGCCACCTGGTTGGCATGGAGAGGCGGCAGAGCCAGGGCTGGAACCAAGTTTGTGAGACTCCAAGTCCAGTACCACCTACCTTAAAAATGAGGAGCTCAAATGTCCATCAAGAGAAACAGGTCAAATAAACATGGCGGGGCAAAGAAAGAGAGAGTGTCTGCAGTCCAGTATGGTGAGCTTCAGCGTATACCCGTACCACCAAGTGAAAATAAAAGCGCAGTTGTTTATTTATTGCTGTATATGCATTGACTACATCTGGCAGACACAAGAAACTGGCACACCGATCAATTCCTGGAGGAAACTGGGTGATGGGGAGGCAGGCAGGGGAAGAATAATTTTCCCTGTGCAACCTTCTATACCTTTTGGATTCCAATCAAGAGAATGTATTACCTATTCAAAAAATAATGACATGTTTCAAAAAGAGAGTGACACAGGATCTCTTGTTTCAACCCTCTTAAAGGCAATGAAACAGACCCCTACTGAGCACCCAGGGCATGCCAAGCCCTCAGTGGGTGCTGTGGGTTATACCGTGATGAGCAGGATGCTGGCTCTGCCCGCCAGGAGCCCACTCACCCCAGGCAACCCAGGCCCCCCAGGCGGGACAGTGGGTGAGTGACCGCAGGACTCCCACAGCTTCTCCCCTGTGACGCATTGGCCCAGACCCCAGCCACCCTGGCCTGGGAGCCTCAACTGGCGAGGGGTGAGGGTCCATCCAGGGCCCTGTGGGGCCCGGTGACCACCAGGCAGTCGGAGCCAGACTCCTCAGGCCCACGCTGCTCCTTCCCGGCAGAGTCTCAGGACAGGGCAATGGGGAGTGGGACGCCTGTGCCACCTCCCTTCCACATTTCTATGGAAGGATATGACACAATCGTGCCCTTTCTTCTCTTGCTTCGAGCACTCGCTGCCTGTAACCAAGGCAGCAGTTACTGTGAGGGTCGAAGAAACACCGAGCCCCCAGACGGGCTTCTCTCTGGGTGGGAAGTGTGGGCAGGTCCAGACTCTGCAGCGCAGCGGAAATCCACCACATTGGAGCACGCCTCCCTCTCCCGGCGGCCTCCCTGCGTGTGCGTTCTGCCCTGATCACGCCGCCCTGGCCCCCTCCCAGGAGCACAGCAGCAGCAACGTGGACATGTGGACTTCCCACTATTTGTCCCAGCACTCACATCATGCGTCTGTGAGTGTCCTCCAGCCACACTAGGAAGAATAAATGTCTCCCCTGGGATGAAGCTACACCCCTGGTGTCCCCGAGACTCTAGGACAGTGGAAGGGGCTCTTTCTGGAGCAGCCAGGTAGTCTTACCATCTAGCTGTATAAGGCCAGCGAGTCACAAAGTGCTCTCCCAGCCATTGCTTCCGATGATCCTCATGGGGTACCCTGCAAGGGGTACGGATGAGGAAACCACAGCTCAGACATGTTATGAGACCTGCTCACCCAGTAGCCAGAGAGTAGCAGAGCTGACATTTTAATCCAGCGTCCCCACTCCAAATCTCAGACTCTTCACAATATTGTTGGAAGAGCACTTACAGATCACTTAGTAGAACCTCATGTTTTACAAATGATAAACTGAGGTCAGAGAGGGAGAGGGGCGTCTCCAAGGTCACACAGCATGCAAGAAGCAAAGCCAGGTCTCAAGAACCCAGCCCTCTGTCTCCTGTCTACAGGCTGCTTTATCCTCTGTCAAGGGGATGGGAAGAGCAGGTTGGTTGAGATGACCTGACACCCTCTCCCTTCTAGTGTCCTCACTTTGTCCCAACTCACTCCCATTTCTCAGCAGCTGCCTCTAGACCAGTGGTTGTGAACTCAAACGTCTTCAAGGACGGGCAGGAAATGAGCGGGGCAGTCTAGGCCTAGACTCTAGGGTCAGACAGTAGAGGTGGATGACGACTGTGTTGAACCGCAAAGTGCTTTCCCTGCCTAAAGGTGTTCAAATCCAATTAAAAAAAAAACCAAAACAAAGTTTCGAAATATACCAGTAGGGTTTGGGAAGTGGGGAGGCACGGAAGAAACAAGATTGGCCGTGAGTTAGTCGTTGTTGAAGCCAGGTCTTAGGTAACGGGGTTATAAATACCATCCTGTGTAACTGTATATGTTTTTAATTTTCCACAATAAAATTTTTTTAAAAAAATTAATGTACTGTCAAAAAAAAAAATTGGGTCCTTATGCCATATAGGTCCACAGGCCACCAGTTAGAAAACTCTACTCTGAACATTCCCGAATATCCTGCGGCTCATCTCTAGCCTTCCTTCCAGTTCCCTCTTCACAGCCTGGGACTGGGAGACAAACGGGAGGAAGGAATACATGCCGGTGTGGGGAGGGCGAGGAAGCTGGCCACCCACGCCCAGGGGCACAGACTCAGGATGGATCCCATACAAATGGATACAGGGGACACCCCTGGCAGGCCATACCCCTTGCAGCCTGTCCGTTCCCCTGCAACCTGCCCATCCCCCTGCACCTCGCTGTGCTTTGCTCTCCTTCCTTCCACGGTGCCTGCCCACCCCCACCATGCCAAGGGGAACAAGCGAATCCAGGGTGGGGTTCTCAGCGTGCAGAGTAGGCCGCACCCCGCACAGTGGCCGGCACACCCGCGGTTACTGCGAATCTGGAGGGGAGCTCGCTGACTTCCAGGGTGTGGGAGACACGTGATTCGGGGTGGAAGTGGGTTAGGCACGGAAGGTGTGGGTTTTGTTTTTCCTCTTCCTTTTCTTAGGCAGATTACTATTTACCATAATCCCTTTCCTAAACCCTAATATCTTTCCGGTTTATAAAGTGCTCTCACATTTATGATATCATTTAATTTTCCCAACCCTGTGAAGTAGATATTATCCACATTTTATAAATGAGGAAACTGAGGCTCCCATGATCAAGTGACTTGCGCAAGATCACATAGCTTGTGAGTGGCTGCGCTGAAGGCTGCTGACCCTAATTTCAAAGTCTCTTCCTCTACCCCATTTTGGGGAGCAGTAAAGGGAGTCCCCTGTCATGGAGCCCTGCAGCTCTTACAGACCAATGACAGAGAAGCAAATTTCACTGAGTTTTCTAAGCAGTCAGCTAAGGTGGCAGGAAGTTTTGATGGGCTGCTGCAGTGTGCTGTGGTTTCTTAGCTGAGAAGTGTTGTTAGAGGTAATGATGTTACCTGAATGGATCTTCTGGGACGTTGACTCGCACAGGGGAAATTTGGACTTCCCATCACTTTGTCTCACGACCACACAGTCCCCAAATCTCACCTGAGTGTGATACAGAGGAACCGAAAGAAGATACTACATTGTCGACATGAACTAGAGACAGTGACTTTAGGTCTTACGTCAAATCTTAGTTCTGCCTTAACTTTGCTGTGCAACCCAGGCCAGATTTTTCCCTCTCCGGTCCTCAGAACAGCCTTCTGGTGGCCAACCCAAAGTTATCTCCCATGCCAGCTCAATGCATAGTGAAACTCCACTCCCTTGCTAAACTCCACTCCTCCTGCAGAAGATGACTTAGGGAAGGGTTGTCACTGCTCAGAGAAGCATCCCCAACCCCTCACTGGCTTGGGAATTTAACACCAAAGGAGAGACAAGCATGAGAAGCAAGGCAATTGCTGGGAGGAATTAAACAGGCTAGTGGTAGATCCAGCCACCCAGCCTTGGCCTGTACAGAGGTTGCTTTTCATGCCTTTTTCCTCTGTTAATTTGGCTTGTTTTCCAAACATGGGTCAAACAATCCATCGCCAGAAGCAGCAGCAGCAGAAGGAAATGTTATTAAAAATGAGTCCGTTAGTGGGCATGGATGAAGTCTTTGGGAGTTTTGGCTGCCAAATAAAGACTTTATTGTTGTCATTTCTCCTTTCCCAAGCTCCCTCCCTCTCTCCTCTCCTCCCTCCCTCTCTGCTCTCCTTCCCTCTTTCCCTCCCTCCCTAGGATCTGCCCCTCCCTCCCCTAACCTAACCTCCCCACCCCAATAGGATCTGGTGGAAGAAAAGTCAGGCAAACACAAGCACGCACGCACCACTGGGAGATCAGAGCCTCTAGCTGGCTCTGTGCTGCCGAAGCTCCGAGGAAGGGTGGGGGAGGAAGAGGAAGACTAAACCCAGAGCTGAGAGGAGAGGCAGGTGTGTGCAGGTAAGCCCAGTCGGGAGATGGGCAGGAGACTGGGAAGAATCCTTCCTCCAGCGAGAGTCCTTCTGCTCTGTCCAACCCAGCTTTTGATCTCGTCTGTATCTTCCCCCTCCTTCCTTCCTTCCTCCCACCTTTTTCTGCTCTCAAATGAGCTCAAGTTTAGCCTTCCTCATTTCTTTCCTTTATAGTCTCTCTCTCTCTTCCTTCTTTTTTCATCACTCTGTACACCCTCCATGTGCCAGCTGCCGAAGTTAAACTTTCTTGGTACAGATGTTTGTTGTAGCACAGAGAGCCATGTCGCACACAGTATTTCTACAGATCAGGTTTCCATAGAAACCGGACTCTAGAACTCATTTCTTTGCGCCTTTCACATGTTGTCACACGTCGTCAAAGACTCACACACTCACACCCCCCCGTAGAGCCTGCACTTTCATGACCACCACCACCGCACACACACAAAATAAAGACATCCTGTCGATTCACCTCCACTCTCTGACTGCATCTGACATGCAGACACAGTGATTAGATACCGGCACACACACACACACACACACACACACACACACACACACACACCCTCTGCATTTTGTCTCTCACCCTCTCACACGCCTCCCCAGCTGTAGCAGCAAAGAGAAAGTGCGTCTTCCCACTGAGGTCGCAGAGCCAAAAGAAAATCCTGTGTCCTAAGGGAGGCCAAGCAGGGAGGAGATGAGCAAGAGCAGGAGCTGGAAGGATTTCTTCATTATTTAGAGCTTAATTGGGTAGGAGGGAGAGAAAAGTCATTTTCCAGCCTGCACAGTGTTTCAGCAGCTCTGAATTTCTGTCTCACTGGTCTAAACCACTTGGCTTTTAGGAAGAAAGAGAAGAAGGCGACCCTCCAATCCTTGAAGGTCCTGATTCCTAGTTCTGGGGGCAGTTCATTTTTTTCCTGCAGGCAGGCAGCCAGAAAAATATTTTCTTTGAAGCCATTCTGAAATTTTTCCAACCATTCCAACCATTGGCAGGGGGTCCTTGTGGCAGAGAAGAAAAAAGACAGTAGTTTCTTCAGCAATCAGGGAGGGCAACACTGAAGGGCAGCCCCTCTCTAGCTCCCCACCTCATTCCTCTCCAAAACAGTGAGGGTCTGTCTGCAGGCGGGCAGGTGTGGGCTAGATCTGCACAGTCACAGGGGCAGGGGAGGGAGCAGTGTGCAGCACTTTCTAAAAATACAGACGTCTTGACGCTCAGTGCAGACCTTTTGAATCAAGACCCAGGAATCTGCTGTCGTGTTAATACTTTAGGGGATCCTGATGGCCACCAGAGCTTAAGAACCTGAATCAGGGGCCTGAGAGAGACCTTTGCCATAATGTACGAGCCCAGGACTCCTGGTGGCATTAGCTGGGCAGGAGGACTGTGTGGCTTCCTGGAAAAGGAGCTCCGGAGCATCCCAAATAGGTCATCCCTTTTTGGGGGAAGTGGGAGCGAACACCTGAAGGAACAGGGAAGATCTCCTGTGAGCTCTCTCCCCTCCTCCTCCTTGCATGCACAGGCAGCCATATATATCACAGAGGAACATTCCAGAAGGAAAGTTCCCCCAAGATAGCTCCAAAGAGTTTCTGTTTCCTCTCACCTGCTAATCTGCCTGCCCCAGGACCCCAGGAGCATGGTGCGGGGTCCCTCCCCTGTCCCTTCTAGATCCCCTCCCCTCCTGCCCAGCTGCTGTCTGTTGTGAAGGGCTTTCACAGCGGGGAAGCTGAGCCGTAAGTTCTTCACTCTGCCTTCACCTCCCCAGTGGGCAGCCTTATTTACTGGGCATGTGGGTGAAGCATTTCAAGGCTAGAAGGGGCGAAAAAAGCCAGGTGCAAAAGGTTGGGAGGAGAAGTCGTGGGTTACAGTGGAACTCCACAGCCAGCTGAGCAAGGGAAGATTCGGGCCTTCTCTGGCCAGTGTCCCCTCACTGCAGCAGGAGAGCGCGGGGACGGGTTAGGGAACTGGAAGGGCAGAATGAGCTTTCCGCAGTGGCTGGGGGCTTCTAGGATCTCTCCAACTGGTATATTCTGAGACCCAGGAGTGGTCTCTCAAGCCACAAAGGGGAGGCACTTGCTCTGTGTGGAAGAGCCAACGCCCACCTGCAAGGATCCCTGCCTTTGGACAGCAGGTGGGGCTGCCCCCACCAGGCTGAAGGGAAAGAGACCCCAGTACTTTGAAATAATTTCAATAATCCCTTAACGTTCATTGAGCACTACTTTGCACACATTAACTCATTTAACCCTCAAAACAATCTGTTAAGAAGGTGTTAGTATGCCCATTTTACAGATGAGGAAACCAAGGCCTTGCCCAAGGGTACCCAGTTAAGCAGCTGAAGAGTTGCAGGGTTGGGCCCTAGATCTATAACCACCCAAGGCATCAGATTCTTCTAGGCTTTCTTCAGGGGTTGGAGATGTTGGGGGAGGGAGCCAGAGAAGGACGTGGTGGGCAGCAGGCTGTCAGAGAAGACCCATCTCAGTCTTGTTTCTTCTCCATCCCTCAGAATGGAAAACTTGCTCTTCTGGACTAGTGGCCTCAGGCCAGAAAGTCTTCATTCTGTTTACACTTTGCCTTGTGGTAGACACTGGGGAGACAGATGGTCTCTCCATAATAGTGTTATATTTATTTTTAGCTTTTTTGATATGTAGTGCATTTTAAAGCTGTTTATCACACTTGCTTTTGACAACTGGGTAAAGAATATAGGGGTAGGGAAGATTCTGTTATTCCCATTTTACAGATAAGGAAACTGAGGCACAGAACAGGATCACATCACTAGGTAGTGGTGGAGGGACTGAGGATCCTTGTCTCCTAACCAGCATGCACCACAATGCTCTTTCCCCACCGCCCCAGGCAGGCTCACCTTCAGACCGTCTCATCCCCCACCCCAGGAAAGGAGCCGTGGCATCAATGCTGTGTTGAATTCATCAGGCCCCCTGCCTGTCCCTTTGTTATCCCTGGACCACACCAGCCCTCATGGGGCCCTTGAGAGGGTCTCAGGCAGCCTGCATGGGCCTGGCTCCATCCTCTGTAACAAATGGGCAGAGACCACCTGATTCTCCCTGCTTCCAACTTCCTTCCAGGCTACAGGGAGAGATAAAGGGAGTGGGGTGGTTTCAGAAGTCTGGGTTTAGAACACAGAGAAGGGAAGGAGAGAGGGGCACCCGGCACGCACAGGCAAGGCTCTGGGGCAGGGGCAGCTCATTCTCCACAGCAGGGCGGCTATCTGGGTCAAGCCTGGGAGGCCGAGGGGTGACCAACTCAACAGGAAATCTGACAAGAGGGAAGAATGCCAGGGCACAGTATGGAGTGTCCCCAGTGCTAACCCTGCCTGGCCCCAGGAAACAAACTCAACCTCACTCCCAGCCCAACCCCAACCTCTCCATCCAAGGCCAGGTGTCCTTAAATAATACCTGCTCCTGATGACTTGACAGACCCATCTGGACCTCAGCCCCGGCCTGCCCTGGGCATAAACATCCCACCAGTCCTGGGTTCTAATCTTAAATGAATAAGGTAAATAGGGAAAAGGGCTATCTCACTTTAAAAGTCAAGGAGTCTCTCTAGAGAATCCACTCTTTTAAAAACAAAAAAATGAGTAAGTAAAATCTCTTCCATTTGTAGAGATTATATACTCTATAACTGCAGTCCCCAACCCCTGGGCTGTGGACCAGTACTGGTCTGCGGCCTGCTAGGAAATGGGCCACACAGCAGGAGGTGAGCAATGGGCCAGCGAGTGAAGCTTCATCTGTGTTTGCAGCCACTCCCCATTGCTCACATCACCGCATAAGCTCCACCTCCTGTCAGATCAGCAGCGGCATTAGATTCTCACAGGAGCTAGAACCCTGCTGTAAACTGCGCATGCGAGGGATCTGGGTTGCACGCTCCTTATGAGAATCCAAAGCCTGATGATCTGAGGTGGAGCTGAGGCGGTGATGCTAGTGCTGGGGAGCAGCTGCAAATACATGTTATCATTAGCAGAGAGGTTTGACTGCACAATAAATGTAACGTGTTTAAATCATCCCAAAGCTATCCCCCTGTCCCCTGTCCATGGAAAAATTGTCTTTCATGAAACCGGTCCCTGGTGCCAAAAAGGTTGGGGACCACTGCTCTATAACATGTCTTCACATGCATGATCTCACTGGATCCTGACACAGATGAGGAGTCTGGGGCAGAGAGTCAAAGCCAGGAGGCAAGCCCAGATCTGCAATAGTTGGAACTGGAATTTCAATTTAAAACACTTAGGAAATGTTTTTAATAATAAATACAGGGAGTGAATTTTGGGTTGGGCGGAGCAACTGCTTTTCCCTTCCATGAAGCAGCAGCTTTTTGAGACTCATGTTGGAGAACAGGCTGCACGGAGTTGGTTGTTGTGGGTGGGCAACAAGCATTCACTGATGGAGCAGCGAGAAGAGCCCAGGGGGAAGCTGGGCGTGGGGAAGTGTGCTTGCAAACGCATAAGAAATTTTTTAAACACACACATAGGACCTACCCGAAGGGAACTTATGATTGGACAGAAGGTTCTGGAAGGCAGGAGCATAGGAAGTGTGGCTTTGGGGCTTTGTGGGAGGGACTATGACTCCCCTTGGAGTCCAGGTATCTTCAGTCTGTCACACGGATTCTGGTTCAGAGACTTAGGTCATCAGAGCATTGCCAGAGAGAGGCTGTGCTATTGGAACCTCCTGCTCGCCCAAGCGGCCAAGCTCCAGCAGGAAGGGGCGTCACCCCATGAGAAAAGCCTTAGAAATGAACGCTATTTCCTTGAGAGAAGCACTGGTGCTCACAGGATGGTTCTGATTCACTCTGGGGCTAAGGGAAGGGGAGTAGTCAAGATCTAGTTTCCCCACAGAACACACACGCCCAGGGAGCATTTCCTAGGGAACCTCCCTTAGGCTCTGGGAGGAGCCTGGCTAGCCCTGAGGTTTGGAATGCAAAAGGGTCAGAAGGACTAGTGGGAAGATAAGTTCCCAAGTGGCCTGGCACAGATCACGGGGAAGAGGAGGCCTGTTCGCTGTGGACGGGAAGGGCCAGGCAGTCAGCCTGCTGGGTGGAGCTGTGACCGACCTGCCCACTGTCATCCCTGACAATGGAGACCAGGGTCATCCATGCACTGAGCCACTGAGTAAACCCACCCCCAGCAGAGGCCAGAGTCCCTGCACCTCACCGAGCAGGCTTCTGCCCGAAGCTCTGGGGAAGCCTCACTTGCTTAACTTGGGGCCCAGTATATGCTTTTGGTAACCAATGCAACGAAGGGAAACAGGGAAACCCTGGCCGGTGCTGGGAGCCTCCTTGGGGCAGGGCTTCTCACGGCATGAAACATTCATTGCTTATTTCCAGGCTTCTGGGTGATTAGAAAACAAAGATTTTTAAAAATAAATAACCAAGGTCACAAAAAGTGGGGCTTTCAAAAATGTTTGCTTTTAGGATACAGATGCTTTAACCACCCCTTAATTTACATGCAACATGACTGCTCTTTTGCTAAGAAAATTATAAGACTTATAAAATGTTAATTCATAGTTCAGCAAGTGGGGTCCTGCCAACAAGGGTCAAGTTTAAAGTTTTACAATGAACGTCTTCTCTTTTTAATCCTTTCAGTGTATCCCTGAGATTCTTACATCCTCAACTGGAGACAAAGCCACGAATCTAAACTTCAAGGTCCTTCGTGACAGGAGGCCGGGGGTGGGGGGGAAACGGCCTTGCAGAACCCCCGGGAGAGGCCTGCCTGGGAAGAAACCACCTTAGAGGGAGCTGGAGAAGTCTGAGGCTGCAGGACAGTGTCTGCCCCTCCCTCCTCCTCCCCATACTCAGTGCACTGCACAAGGGCTCACACACACACACACACACACACACACACACACACACACACACGATACGTGGACACGAGCTTGCTTCTGTGTGCAGGACCGGGAGAGAACGCTGTGTGTGCAAGAGCGTGCACGCTCGGGGTCAAGGGTGTGTGTGTGTAAAGGTGGCACGATTCCCTCCACCCATTCAGGCCGGAGTTCTGCCTCTTTTCTGTCTCTAGTCACATTCAGCAACTCCTGAGCATCCAGCCAGGACTCGGCAGCTGGTCAGGGGCTTCTGCTGTGTTTCTTCAGTCAAAGCTGGGCCCTAGGTCAAACAAGGAGAGAGTCTAAGCTGATGTGGGCTCAAAGGTGGGAGAGAACAGGGGGCCTGACTCAGAGGCAGTGATCACAGGTTCAGATGGAAGCTGGGGACATATTCCAGCCCGCTCTGTCTCGGAGAACCCCAAGCAGCCAGCATCCCCGGTGTCCAGACCTGGAGTAGGGGGACAGTTGTGAGGAAGAGGCAAGGAAGGCCAGATGAAGCAATGTGGCTTCAGGGACCTCGGCTAGAGACCAGAGGGCATGTCACAGGGATGATGGCCCTGAAGAGGGGAAGGTACAGGGCACCCCCTCCCTCGACCCTTCCCAGGCCAGCCCAGGGGAGGAAGCCTGTGGAGCTGCCATTGCCTGTCTGCAGCCCTGGCTCTACTGATGTTCCTCCGCCTTCAACTCAACTCATTTGAGGGTCATCAGGGCCAATGGGAAGGGCAGCTCCAAAACATTCTTCAGCTCCCCATGCCAACATCACTGAAGTGAGCAGGAAGTTCTCCTTAATATCCCCCCTCAATACCACCAACTCCAAAGGATAAGGGGAGCAGCAATACCCGGTCAAAAGAAAGGAAAGTGTTTTTTCCACATCTTTCTATCCCTTCCCTGTTTATTTTCCTGAGAGCCTCCGCATCTGGGGAGAAATTCTTGGCATATTTCCTGATGGCAAAGACCAGTGTTCTCCGAGCCAAGTGCAGGGGTGAGGGGAGGGGAGGCCCAGAGCACGTGCGAGCAGGAGTGGATGCAAGGGTGTCCACAGCACTTCACTTCCTTCCCAAAATGTCCACGAGCTCTACTCTGGAAGGCAGGAGGTCTTGCCTTTCGCTCTGGGGTCTGCTGTTCAATAGCTTCTTGGCCTTGACAAACCACTTCTTCCCTCCAGTCCTCAGTCTTTGTAAACAGTAGGTTCTGGACTTGATCGGTGGATTTCAAACCATTTTTAGCAATATAACGTTTTTTCAAATAAATGCTTTAGCATATATAAGATTAAAAAAAAAAAAAAAACAGAGCTGCTCAGTTTGGTCCAGGAGTGGGTTGAGGTTACACCAGGGCCATCTCCTGTGTCTCTCCCCTACTGGGGGGCTCCACAGAAATGAAGGCACAGCTTGAAAGCCACCATGGTATGGGATCTCTAAGGACCCATCCAGATTTAGCACCCCAGGACTCTATGGTTCATAGATCCTAACATCCCTCTTATAAAAACAGAGGTGATATTCTCATGCTACAAATGGGAAGACTGAGGACCAGAGAGGTTAAAGGTCTTCTCCAACAAGCCCCAGGACTCCTGATTCACAGTCCCATGTGCCTTCTACCAGGATGGCACACCCTCATCAGAGCAGGCTTAATACATTGAGTGGTTAAGCCTCTGGGCAGGGAACCCAGAGCCTCAACCACTTGTTACTCCCTCACTTGCTGGGTACAGGCAAACAGGGAGATGCTTCTACAAGTCCCTGAGCTCCACCCATCTCCCCTGGAGCTAGTCCTGGCCAACTCTAGCTGCAAAGACATGACATCCAGTTACTGAGGGTCAGAAAGCTAATGACCTCCCGTGTTTCCTCCCTGTAGGCGCATCACCTAGACCATGAGGTCTCCCCTCTGCTGGCTCCTCCCACTTCTCATCTTGGCCTCAGAGGCCCAAGGCCAGGCAACAAGACGACCAAGACCCGGCACTGGGCCCAGGCGCAGACCCAGGCCCAGGCCCACACCCGCTTTTCCTCAGCCCCATGAACCAGCAGAGCCTACAGACCTGCCTCCCCAACTCCCTCCGGGCCCGCCATCAGTCTTCCCTGACTGTCCTCGCGAATGCTTCTGCCCTCCTGATTTCCCATCTGCCCTCTACTGTGACAGCCGCAACCTGCGCAAGGTCCCCGTCATCCCATCCCGCATCCATTACCTCTATCTCCAAAACAACTTCATCACCGAGCTCCCAGTAGAGTCCTTCAGGAATGCCACGGGCTTGAGATGGATCAACCTGGACAACAACCGAATTCGCAAGATAGACCAGAGGGTGCTGGAGAAGCTCCCCAGCCTGGTCTTCCTCTACATGGAGAAGAACCAGCTCCAAGAGGTCCCCTCGGCCCTGCCCCGGAACCTGGAGCAGCTGAGGCTGAGCCAAAACCAGATATCCAGAATCCCCCCTGGCGTGTTCAGCAAGCTGGAGAACCTGGTGCTCCTGGATCTGCAGCACAACAAGCTGAGTGACGGTGTCTTCAAGCCCGACACCTTCCATGGCCTCAAGAACCTCATGCAGCTCAACCTGGCCCACAACATCCTGAGAAAGATGCCACCCAAGGTCCCCACAGCCATTCACCAGCTCTACCTGGACAGCAACAAGATTGATACCATCCCTAATGGATACTTCAAGGGCTTCCCCAATCTTGCCTTCATTCGGCTCAACTACAACCAGCTGTCAGACAGGGGGATCCCCAAGAACTCCTTCAACATCTCCAACCTGCTTGTGCTCCACCTGTCACACAACAAGATCAGCAGCGTGCCTGCCATCAGCAACAATCTGGAGCACCTGTACCTCAACAACAATAGCATCGAGAGTGAGTGGGGGCGGGGCTGGGGGAGGGCACAAGGAGGGAGGTGGGAGTTCTTACTGCCCCCACCCTTTCACAGAAACCTGGGCAGGGGAGGTGCAAAACCACCCACTTTGGCATCGGACTTCAAATCTTGGCATTACTAGTTGCTACCTGTGTGACCTTGGAAAAATATTTGACCTCTCTGGAAAATTTCCTCATCTGTAAAATGAAAATGGTAATATCTTCTACCACAAAGCTGGTTTAATATGATAAAGTGCCCAGAATACCACACTTGGAGGGTAATAGGTTTTCTTCCTCCATCCCTTCTCATCAGCCCCAGCTTCTCTGGCCTCTGGATGTGTAGGTAGGGTAGACATGGACTATATTCCCAGACATTCTCCTAAAAGCAGAACAGAGACATTTAAATGTCCATCTTGAAATGTCCTGGGCCTGCCCACTGCAGAAGCCTGCAGCTATGGGAGGACGTTTCTTCCCAAGTCTGAGCCTAGGTTTCGAAGAGTCTCTAAAATTGTAGCCAGAAAAACGGCTATAAACCCAGGGTAGACAACTGGTAAACATGTGGCTGCCAGAAAAAAAAAAAAACCATATGCTAGTGCTTTCTGGATCTATCTGCAACGTTGCGATGGTTAGTTTCATTGAAGGGAGAATTTGCCTAAGTTACAGTTACAGGGTCCTGGGCTTGGAGTATGGATTGCCACCCAGGAGAGGAGGCTGGGAGTCGCAGTTTCATTCCAAACGAGTGTCAGCTCTGAGCAGAGCATCAGCAGAAAAGTTTAGAAATGAAATAATATTATCTGGTCCTTGAAAAAAATCAGGCCATATTCACACAAGGAATACAGCAGCTGAAGGGATGAAAGGGATCCAGGGAAAAGAGAAGAATCCCTTAGAACAATATTAGAGGATTGTTAGATTCCAAGCCAAAGAATGCGAAGAAAGATTGTTGAATTTTCTACAATCTTGAAACAAATGGATGAGAGAACAGGCCTGTTCACTCATCTGGGATAATTACAAGAAGTGGGGGAGAGATTTTTAAAATATTGCAAGAAACAAATTCAAGAAAAGGGAAAAACTATCTAATTTTACCCTGCAGGTAGCACATTAAAATGGAACACATTACCCCCAGGAAGCTGTGTAGGCTGAATATACAGACAGAAAGTATACCTCGACTGATAAATGGCTGACAGGTCCCTGCCAGACTGGTGGAAGAATAGATTGCTCAGGGACATCCCAGCCTTCTGAGGTCGAAGTCAGAACAAGCATGCCCTGCCCACGTGTGTCCACCCTCCATCCAGCCTGTCTCCTGTGTCCTTGACAGACAGAACGGCTGAGTGGGACTGAGGTCAGTGCGATGATTAAGTTCTTGCAATGACCATAATGCCATCACCTGTACCATCCTTTACAGTTTGCAAAATGCCTTTGCCGACATTCTCTCATCTGATGCACAGGGCAGGCACCACTCTCACCATTTCACAGATTGGGGGACTGAGCATCAGGGCGGTCAGTCGGCAGCCCAAAGTCACAAAGGCATAAGGGAAAATTCACCTGTGTCAGGGCTCTTCTCCTCTGATGATGGGAGAGGAAGAAGACAATAACAACAATGAAGATGACTCCTCCTCCTTTTCCTCCTCCTCCTCCAAAGATGATAAATGAGTCAAGGGTTAGGGAGAATTAAAAAATCCATTTAGAAGCTGACAAGCCTGATGCCATCCAACAAGAGGTGAAAGAGAAAATAGAATTTCAGGCCTTGGACACCTTAGAATCAATAGGCTCATCATGTCCCTGGGGCCCCTGAGTTATCCCAGGCCCCTTTCCTCTTCCTGTCATCCCTATTTCATTAGCCGTCTTTGTCCATCCTCATGCCCTCACATCCAAGTCACAGGGACACCTCCAGCGTAATTCTCACATCCACCTGCTGGCTTCGGATCTCGCCTAACTCCATTGCTTCTCCACACTGTAGCTAGATTCTTCTTCTACAGTACACACCTGATCATAGGGATCTCTAAGGACCCTTCCAGATTTAACGCCCCAGGACGCTATGGTTCCTATAATCTAACATCACTCCCATAAAGACAGTTCTGTTCAATGCCATTCCTCAGACCGCAGATCAAAGCCCTGATGTTTAGCTAAATAGTATTTGAAAATCTACCACAATTTGGCCATAACTTACCTTCCCAGCTTACTCTCCGCCGTACATCACATTGCACTATTATTATTTCCAGATTCTGCCATGAGCAGAATTTTGGCCTCCACAACTTCATTTAAACTGGGCTGTCTATCAGAACACCATCCCCCAGGTCTCTACCTATGGTAACCCTACCTAGTCTTAAAGCCCCAGCTCAAAGTTTACTTCTGATTCTCCAAAGTAAATGTACAATAACAATTGTTGATCAATTCCAACTTTTTTTTTAAGTCGGGGTCTCACTGTTGCTCAGGCTGGTTTTGAACTCCTGAGCTCAAGCGATCCTCCCTCCTGGGCCTCCCAGAGTGCTAGGATTACAGGCACCAGCCACCGTGCCCGGCCCAATTCCAACTTAATTCATGTTGCAAATGAGTAAACCAAGCCTGGAGGTCAGGGCAGCTCATCTAAGGTCACACATCCCCAAAGTCAGCCAGTTCCAGAGAGGAGAAGTCTACAGTCCTTACTCTTGGTTGTCCCCCACCCCCATTCTCCTTCCTCATCTTTGCCTCCAGCTGACTTCTCCTCTTCTTTCTCCATAGAAATCAACGGGACCCAGATCTGCCCCAACAACTTAGTCGCCTTCCATGACTTCTCCTCGGATCTGGAGAACGTGCCACACCTGCGCTACCTGCGGCTGGACGGGAACTATGTGAAGCCACCGATCCCACTAGACCTCATGATGTGCTTCCGCCTGCTGCAGTCCGTGGTCATCTAGGCCATCCTCCACCGCTGGATCTCTTCTGACCGCACTTGAAGGCTGGGGCCCAGGCGCCTGTGCCCACCATTCGTTTTCTCTATCTCCTTTCCTTGTTCCCAGCTTTGCCTCTCTTATCCCACCTTTCCGAGGCAGGGAAAAGCCATATACTCTGTTGCAGCCTCTGGAGCAAGACTTCCCAGGGCTTGGTTTGGTCCCACCCAATTCAAAGACACCCAGTGCACACCCAAACTTCTGGCCTTCTGTGGTCTCCCTTTGCTCCAGAAACACAGATGTGTGTCTAAAGACTTCATGTCCCGCTCTCCCTTCTCCACCCGCTGCCCCTGGGTAAATCTGGGCCATACGCTGCCATCAGATCTCGGTCCTGGCCAACAAGCAGAAGATGGTCAGGGCCGCCCAGAAGTGGTTTGGAAAGTCCGGCTGGAGACTCCTCCATCCTGGGCAGCTCTGGCTCAAGGAGGCCGAGAAACCCAGGTCTCCTTGGCCAAGGATCCCTTCTTCCAATACTGCTGCTCCACCGCCCGTCCCCCGGCACGACATCGCCCTGGCTCTCCAGGAAGGAAGCATGGGGGAATCACAGGGGGTGGGGGCAGAGGGTCAGGGTCCCCGAAAGGCTTGCATCATCTGGCGGCTCTTCACTGGGATGAGCCGCCCCCCAGCCCCGGGGGAACACAGCACACGCCCTCCTGGCTGGGCCTCAGCGAGGAACAGCCAAGGGGGAGAAGAGTGGCGCAAGGAACCAGGAACCGGCAGGGAGGGCGGGGAGGAGCCAGAGTCCCGGGCTGGAGCTGGGTGGGTGCAGATGGGTCCCGCAGCCCCGGGCCCAGCCTCGGTGAGCCTGAGGCCTAAAAAACGGAGTCCACAAGGGAGGTCGAGAGGCACCAGCCCCGCCCCCGCCGCCTGTCCTCCATCAGCGTGGTGGCCCAGTGACTTCCGCCCCGGGGAGGAGGCTCCTGAGAAACCGGGAGGAGGGGGCGGAGCACCTGGAAATCTCCCAGAAGCCTCTTCCACATTGAAACTCGGCCCCCGCCTCTCAGACAGACTCATCAGCGACACCTGGTGGCTGGCGGGGGCGACGGCTGGCTCCGGTCTTCCTCGTCACCCTCTCCCCGGGTTCCAACTGGGACAAGCCATGGGCTACGTCTCTCTCCTCTAGGGTCTAAAGGGCAAAAAGGTGCAGAGGCTGGGCACACGTGAGCACACGTGGGAAGGCCTTGGGAACCCAGACGAGGATACGGTTGGCTCCCATTCGCTGTGTGCCCTTGCCGGGTCCCTTCTGCTCTCAGCTCCCACATCTGCACACGAAGGGGGCGGATGAGATGCTCCGCCCAGGGCCCTCCAGCGCTCATGTTCTGAGTCTGCGGCCCCACACTTTAAATCACACTCTAATGCAGGACAAGTCCTAAATATCGTCCCCTTCCCTTGCAGTAATTTATTCCCCGTATGGTCTGTCCCTCCCCCAGAGGCGTCCGCACCCTCCTTGCCTGGCCCAGGTGAACAGTTTGGCAGGGCTGCCTCGCTTTCACCTTCCCCCCTAACTTCCCGTAAGGGATGCTGTTCCTCCTCAACCCTCTGAATGTGTAGTTTGGTAGGAGGCATAGGGAGTTGGATGTTCTAGAATTAGTAAGATAGAGCTCAACCCCAAGTTAGTATGAGAAAAGTTCCCGAGGTTTTTAAGAAATTGGGTTAAGCTGAGTTCCTAACTCCAAGAAATTCCCATTATACTTTTTCTCACCTTTCTCTTCTGCTAATTATAGAAAGTAGGGCCCAGTTCATTATAGCCTCCTTCCCCCATGCTCCACTACAGTTGCCTCATTCTTCCAAGCTGCCGCGGGTTTCTCCAAGCCTCCTGCTTAAAGTCAGTCTGCTATTTTGGCTGTAAGCAACCTGGTGCTATGGCCTGGATATGCCCCCCTTCTGCACCTTAGTCACACCTTGCAACCTCAGCCCCTTTGATGCGGCCCTCAGGGGAACACAGCTTCTGTGGCTCTCCAGAGGGGAGGGGTCACTCCCCTGATCCTACAAACCGAACTGTTTTGTTTTAGCAGCAACTCAATCACCATCATCCCATTGCCTCATCTAGAATATGCCTGCTCCCTCCATTGCTCTCTGCAGCTGTAAGCCAGAGGGGATTAGAGTTAAATTCGCTTCACAGGTACACCTCCCCCCAACACACTCACAATGTGCCATTTTCCCTAGGGTTTAAGAAAGCCCCCTCCTCCACGCACAAGTTCATTCCCTCAGTGCTGTTGGCATCTACATGCACAGGTGTGTAAGTAGGTGTGTGTGTGTACTCTGTACATGTATCTATTCTCTCTCGAAGACCATGTTACCTTTGTGAAACAACTCTCACATTTCAACACGCTTCACAGCAGAGTAAATAAAGTAATATGAAAAACACCCTGCTTGAACTTGACAATGTCAACAGGTCAAAGATAACACCTTAAAGTCATCTTGCCACCCACCTCTGTGTCCCCCACCTCTCACTTGCTCTGAGAAGATGAGTGGAGAAAATATCCTATTCTTAAGAAATTCCTAGGAAAACTATACCAAAGCCTTTTCTTACAGAATTTCTCCCAAAGTAACAACCCTCATGAGAAATTATTCCTAAAGTCAGACCAGAAATCTGACAGCTACATTTGAAGCCCAAAGTCCCAGGTTCTTTCAACCCACAGATACTAAATTGTCAAGGGTCTCCCAGATGCTCAGTACTGAGACACACATAGAAAGACCCAAAATCGTTGTCTTTCCCAACCTGGCAAACTTGCAGACTAATTGGGGCTGTACTGAGGGCAGAGAACAAACGACCAAACCATCTGGAATGGCCCACAGGGCATACAGAAGTTCACACAAGGGCCAGAGCCGGGTAACCCAGAATCTCTCTTCAGAGGGAAGATTAGTTCCAGAAGTGGGATTCATGATCCTCCCAGCCTACACTATCTTCTTTAGGATGAAAACTGCCAGATGATGCCCTCACCCCTCCCACCTGCCTACCAAACACCTGCTTCAGTTCAACTCAGCAAGTGTTCAATGGACATTGACTATATGCCCAGTTCCCAGCTAAGATTCAAGGTTTGGTCATATACACCCCGCGCCCTTGAGGAATTCATAAGTTTGCAAAGGGGGGAAAATCCATGCATTGATACTTCGACGTCTGAAGTGTTTGTAACAATGCTGTGTACAAACAGCACTAAGGAGAGGGCTTCTACCTCTGCCCGAGGGAAACCAGAAAGGCTCCTGTCATGTGAGCTGTCACTTAAGGGATGAATCATATTTTGCCAGGTGGGAGAAGGAAAAAAACAAGCACATAACCAGGAGGGGAAACAGCATGAACAAAGAGGTAGGAGGGTGTGGAATCTACCCTGTGGGGGGATGTGTGTTTGGAAGAGAGGAGAGGGTCGTGTTCTGGTCACGGAGTTATGTGGCTACAAATCCTCAGCAGGGAATATACCCATGTCCTCCAAAACGCAGGAGGGTTCCCGCACTTCCCTGCGCCTTTCTCTCCCCTGTTCATGAGAGGGGCAGCAACAGGGTTGGCTGGCCAGACTTCTGTCCACACTGCCTGCCACCTCCAATCCATCAACATGCCTTGTGCCTCTCCTAATGAGACATTAGGATTAGGACGCCTTCCCCACCTCCTGCCTCCCTTGCCAGGTTCTAGGAGAACCGAGCTGCCTGGAACAACAGCCTGCTGGTGAGACGTTCTCCCCACAGGTCGCATGTACACATCCATGGACACTCCTTGAAACCCATGGGTCCAAGAGTGTGTGGCCTGTAAGCTTGGGAAAGTGAGAGTAGAAATTGAGAGAGGGTCCAGGACAAGAGCCTGTGTCCTAGCAGGAGTGTGGGGAGCAGGCACAGGTACGTTGGGGAGGACCCATTGCAGGGGGGGCGGGGCACGGCAACAGAGCAGGGATGGCAGGACTGTGTGTGCCACTGAGAACGTGGGGATCGCATTTGTACTTTTTGCAGTAGTGAGTGGTGTGGGGTCAGAGAAGGAGATGCGCCCAGGCTGGCTGTGGGGGCGGAGGGACCTGGCCACGCAGCCCAGGCTGTGGAGAGAAATGGAGGAGCACAGCCCGCCAAATGTGCCATCTGCCTCCTGGGCACCCTCCAGGCTCCAGGACTATCTCTCCTTCCACCCAGCAGAGCCCCTGATGGTGTCTCTCCCCAGATGGGGGCTGCCAGAAGCACAGGAACATGTCTTGCTCTGGTGACCAGGCTTTTGGGCTGGGGGAAGCCCCCTCCCACAGCAGCTGGCGCCCAGGAAGACTGCAGGCCAAGCGCTGCCCTCTTCTGCCAGGCTATTAGATCTGCCTCTTCACCTGGCGTGCCAGGGCAGAGATGAGCTCTGCCAAGGCCATCTGCTCTGGCGGCCTGGAGACACATGGACTCGGGACTCCTGGAGAGGAGGTTGAAAAGGGGGAGGGGCATATGAGCAAAGGAAACCCTCTGGCCTGACAGCAGATCTAGGCGCTGGCCCTGGCTCTGTGACCTTGAGCAAGTCACCTCACCTCTCTGGGCCTCAGTTTCTTCATCTATTCAATAGGGGGTTTGGAGTAGCTGATCTTTAGGGGGGCTTGAAGCTGGGATTCAATATCTTGTCAGTGGGGAGCAAGGAGCATCACTGAAGAACCTGGAAAGATGGGGGGTGCAGGTTGGCAGAATCTGGGGAGACATCTTAGCCACCCTTGCCCTTGCCTTCAGCGAGGACTTGCCCTACTTCCTGCCTGAGGCACCAAGGAAAGGGGAGTCTCTCAGTGGGCCTCTGTATCTGCAGGTTCCGCATCCATGGATTTAACCAACTGCAGATAAAAAACAGGAAAAAATTCCGCAAAGTTCCCAAAAGCAAAGTTTGAATTTGCCACGTGCCAAGAATGCTTTCGAATCCACACGAGCAAAGTGATGTGTAGGCATTGCATCAGGCAGTATAAGTGATCCAGAGATGATCTAAACTATACGGGAGGATGGGGGTAGGTTATATGCAAATGCTATGCCGTTTTCTGTAACGGACTCAGGCTTCCATGGACTTGGGGGTCCGAGGGGTGACTGCACAGCTGAGGGTGAGGGAAGGGACATTTCCTAGCCCGCTGAGGACCCTACACACTGTCTTCCAGTGTTTATGCCCAGGAAGTCCCTTTCCTTCCCTTCTCCTTTATCCTCCTCATGATCTCATGTGTGAACTTGAAGTTGGCTTTCGTATCCTGCCTCCTCCCCCATTCACCTTCTCCTTGAACCACCTAGCCCTTCAGACCCTCCCTCCGGTGATTTTGCTCAGTTATGGTCCCTGTGCTGGGGCGCTGGGTGGGGGTGGGGGGCTCTCTGGGGTGCCTGACCTCAGCCTCTTTTTATCTTTGGATTCCAGCTACGAAGCCCAAACCTCATCGCTCTCTGGCTGGAGAAAAGTGCTAGAAGGGCAAGCTCCGTCCCTCCACAAACCCCACTGCAGCCTTCTCTGAGTGCTTGGGATCTGAGGGGGGGGGTCCCTCCCTTGGGGTGGGCATTGCCCGGCCTCAGAGATGTGGCCTTCTCAGGAGGGTGGGCCAGGAAAAGAGAGAAGTAGCTGACAGAGTAAGAGGCGAGCCCAGTGGGAGGTGGGGGGCACAGTGGGTGGAGGAAGAGAGCAGGAATGGGGTGGGAGACCTCCCTGACCCAAGGAAGGAGGAGGGGAAACTGCGGGCCTTCAGGGAGAATGAGCAGTCTGATTGGTCGCAGGCCTCACCCTCCGCAGCACCCACTGTTAATCCAGGCCCCAATTCAGACCACATTTCCACCAGAGTCCGTGCATCTCTGGAAGCTGCTGGGCTCCATTCAGGAACCAAAAGCCTTAAAGAGGTAAGGTCCAAAGTTTGGGGCCTTAGGCCCATCGGGATGCAAATAAGGGGAAAGAGTTGAGGGCTGGGCAGGGAGGATGAAGAGAGTTTAGGCCTCTGGCCAGAGAAGCTGGAGGAGCCTTCTGGGTGGGCAGTAAACTCTTGTCTTAGGGATTTTTTTTTAAGATTATGTCAATTTGGAGTGAGGTATGGGAGTGGGAGGCTAGGTGAAGAGACACCTCTTACTGCTGCTGGGGCTTGCCCCCTTGCCCAGCTGGAATTAGGAAAGGGGAAGAAGCTACTGGAAACTTGTGCAGCTGGCTTTGGGGAGAGCTGCATTGCCAGACGGACGCTGGGTGTGACGGTGCACACGCTTGGCCTGGCTGCCTCAACATCATGCCACACACACTTCTTGGCCCGTCTGCACATATGTGGATGAACCACACGAAGATTTATACTCACGTGCACTTCACATGTGTACGTAGTTAGTTACCTGTGTGCACACACACAGATGCACACAGACATCCATCTAAGCAACTTTCTGGGTGTGTACACACTCCCTCAACCACACACAAAGAACTCTCATATCTGTGATCATCTGTTTCTAAAGAGCTGCGTTTATGAGTGTATTTTAGAAACTAACATTCGCTTTTACATCGTACGTCACTTTAGAAGTCCGAGTCTTCCAAATGGGCGAGGTGCTCCTGGGAAGAGCTGTGCCTTATTTGTTCTGTACCCCCGGAGACAAGTCTGGGGCCTGGAACTCAGATACCCCGTACATGTGGTTTAGCAAATGCACGAATGAATGATCTTTTAAAACAAACCCACAAGACTCCTCGACGTTGAAGTTTCTTGAAATCTGGTTTAGCGACTAGCAGTCACATTCTGAATGTGTGCTTGTGTGAGAGAGACCATCTGTGTGAATGCACGAGCGAGAGCCTGGTTCACAGGGAAGTGTGTAGACAAGGGGACCTTCCTGTGTCTGTGCTGAGATGAATGAGCGAGCCTCTGCCAGGTGTCGGCACGTGGCTGTGCGAGTGACATCGGGGTGTGGGTGAGCATGCAAAGACCCCAGGGGGATGATGCTGGGGGGTTGCTGGTAGACCTGGTCCCAGCCTGTGGGGAGCTTGCACAGGTGCTAAGAGCACTGAGAGTGTGTGTGTGTGTGCACCAGTGTGGGGGTTGGGAGTGGGGTAAGTGTGAGCCGTTCCCACAACACTCCAGAGAGCCTGCCCCCTTCCTCCTGCCACCCCCAGGACCCCATGAGACTCCTGGCTTTCCTGGGCCTGCTGGCTCTGGTGCTGCGGGAGGCAGGAACAGCTTCTCTCCCAAAGGAGGGAAGGAAGAGGAGAGAAGAGCAGACGCCCAGGGAAGAGGACTCTTACGCAGCTCTGCCTGTGGGGAACAATGTCCCAAACCCGGACAACTACGGCGATGTCATTGACCTGAGCAACTACGAGGAGCTCACAGATTATGGGGAACAGCTCCTGGAGGTGAGGGACACAGCAGACCAGATGTGTTCCCTGGAAGAAACTGGGAGCCAGGGGCCTGGCCCCTCTCCACCTGCCTCTAATGCAAAAGCCAAAAGCCCCATCTCTCTCTCTCTCTCTCTGAGGTGAAAATTCTTGTCCCTCCACAGGAACTTGTCACTTAGATGACGCTAAGAAAGAGGACACAAACATGCAATGTCTTTGTCCGTTTGTGGCAACCTTGGTGGGACCCCTCTCCCCGCCACCAAGCAGGACCCTAAGCCATGGCTCACTGGCGTGGGGATCAGCAATGTCCTCATGTTCTCCCTAGAAAAGGAGATGCCACCCCTGTCTCTGCCCTGAGACTGTCCTCCAGTCTGAGGTTCTATCCCTGCCCGCAGGCCGGACCGGGGCAGCAGGGACTGCAAGCCCTGAAGCCCCTGCGTGAGCTTGGTCAGCCCGGAGCAAGGGAAATCAGGCACCTGGGTTCCAGCTCTGGCCTGGAACCACCTACTGGCTCCTTGGCCCTCATCCTTCCCCTTTCTGGGCCTCAGGTTCTTCCTTCATATAACATGATGCTGAGCCTGATGCTCTCTAAGGTCCCTTTCCTGCTTACTTTCTCCGCTGTCCCTCCCCTTCCTCCTCCACAGTGATTCTTTGCAAGTTAGAAATTGGTGAATTGAACCAATTTGAAATTGGTTTGAAACTGGTTCCCGGAGTCCAAAGTTAAGTCCCTCTCAGTCGAAAGCTGGCCCACTGTGAACTGCGTGCTATGTCTTCCAGATTAAGGTGACCAGCCTGGCTCCTCCAACCAGGGTCAGTGCCACCAAGAGCTCTATGCCTGCAAGGACATCCTCAGCAAACCCCATGATGACCAGGCCTACGACGCTGGGCCTATCAGGCTTCTTGGCCAACCACGGTAAGTGCAGTCACACGGTCACAGTTTCCACAGGTCATAGGCCAAGCAGCTGTGACCCAGCACCAGGTGGTGCCAGAACAGAATGTGGCCAGGGCCACCCTAACCAGCAGGAGAGGAGGGGAAATAGCCACAGTAAGAACAGGGGAAAAAATAATCAAAGGCAGAGACTGGCTGTCCTAATACTTTTGCCTGAATGCACAAATTGAGTAGGAAACAAAGAAATGCAAGAACTCCCTTATGCCCTAGCAAAGCCACCCTACCTTAACTAATAGCATCACCGGGGGAGCAGGTTGAGTGGTAATTAGATTAGAGACAATTAAAAGCCTGTAGAGAAGAATAAATAACTTTGTGGCTGTCACTTGGCATGGGAGCAAATGAAGCTGTCACACTGCTTTCAGCTTCAAATTCCCTCCTTAGCAGCTCTTTCCTTCCCCAACTTCCTGGAGCCTGGGAGCTGGCACCCTGGCAGTCAGGGCTTGGCACTCCACTGGGGATGAGAAACTGGGGCAGAGGAGGGATGAAGTTCATACAGCATTTGTTTGTCCTCAGCCTCCCTGTTCTCCTCTTGGGATGTCTGCCTTGGGTGGACCTCAGGTTTGAGGCATCACAGAAAAACCATTCGGTCAGGGATCCATGACCTCTTGGAGCTACAGTCTCAGGCTTGAAGAGACCATAACAAGCCTCAGCTAAACTGCCATTTGAGCCCTTGAGATAAGAAGGGAACTGGCCACCCCCACCCCTGCCCACTTCACCTACTCCTGCTGGTCACTGCTGGCAGAGAAGAGCTGACTCTTAATCTTGGGGCTGTGTCGCTGCTACCAGGGTTCTTCCTTGAGTTGGGCTAATACTGGTCTCTCAGTAATCTCTGCACCTTGTGATAGCAAATGGCAGAAACCACCTGCACTATTAGTTGTAGGAGACAATAAAGTCTCCCCAGTCTGTTGGAGGGCCTGGCCTAAGTCTCGTGACCACTGGATACAGAGAAGGATAGGGTCAAGGACGGAGAACAGGGGAGGGCTGTTTCCCAGTGGAAAATTGGAATGCTGATGCCATAAGAAGAGGAAATGGATGCTGGGCAGGCATTGTCCACTCCCCCTTGGTTCCATTATGCTCCTTGGAGCCACACAGAACTTACCTAATTTCTCTCTCCCAAGGCAGGCAGCAGAGCCAGCAACCACTGGCCATTCCACTTAATTCTGGCTCTATTTCATCTTCAGTGTGCTTTTTGAAACCAGAGAGGAGACCTATGGAAAAGAGACCAATGAATGTCCTAGAAACACCCACAGAGCCCCAGAAAAATGTACACAGGACCAGGGTCTGATGAAAGCACAAATAGGCTCGAACTGGTAGTAACTGAGGGTGGAGTGACAGGCTGGGAAGCACTAACACTGCTGTCTGGGTACATGATGCCTGCTGGTTCTGGGCAGCAACGCATAGGCTGTCAAGAGAACACTGATGGTCATGGCTCAGACACTCCTTGGGGCAAGGACCATTGGCCCCAGAGCCTGAAGGGATCTCTCTCCCTTTGTTCTGTCTTCCGCCTGGGCCAGATCTGCCCACCTGTCTGGTCTGCGTGTGCCTTGGTTCCTCCGTGTACTGTGATGACATCGACCTAGAGGACATTCCACCTCTTCCCTGGACAACTGTCTACCTGTATGCCCGCTTCAACCGTATCAGCCATGTCAGGGCTGGAGACTTCGAAGGGCTGAGTATGTAAGGCCCTGAGAAAAGAGGAGAGGGGGCCAGGAAGAGGGGACCAGCAGGGTCCTTTCCCTTGCCACCCAGCCAGGGGAACAGTCACCAGACACTGTGTCAGCCCCCACCTGTGTTAGTCTTTCCCTGTTGGCTCTCAGTCTTTCTATCTGTCAAAGGGAAATAACCCCAAGCCTCTCTAATTCCTTTCCTGGAAGAGTTTAGAGGGTGAAAATGGCCTGTTCTTATTTGTTCTCGCAAAAGATCTGGGAAGCTGGCAAGGGAAGGTATGATCAAGCCAACATTTCCAGAATGTTCCAGCAACTATAGCTCTGAGACCAGCTGGCCTCTGGACAAGACTACCCTAAGTCTGCTCTCCGTAGCACTGATGCTGTTTACGTGGCTGTTGGTTTTGCTTCTTTATGCCTTCTGCCCTGCTCCAGACAGGAGACCTGGCTCTAACCCAGATTCTACCACCAATTACCCACAGCCTTTCCGGCCTCGGTGCCCTTTCTGTAAATTAATGAGTGGAGGTGGAGTGGAGCCAGGGGCTCCTGAGCCTGTTGGTTTTCGCTCTCAGGAGGCTTCCACCAACCAACCCAAGGTGGGCTGCCACCGCTGGACAGAACTCCAGGGAAAGGTATCAAGGCATTCGAGGGCTTTTCCAAGGAGTCCTGATTTATAATGTTATTTCTTCTGGCTTGGACCTAGTGCAGGTGGGGAACTGGTTAGAATTCCCTGGTCTTGAGAGGAAAGGAGCAGGGCGTGGAGGCAGATCCTACAGGGGACAAGGAAAGATGGTGCGTCCCAGTATCTCTCTTTGTTCTACCCCGATGTCCCTCAGCCAAACTGAAGAGAATTGACCTCTCTAGCAACTCCATCTCCTCCATCGACAACGATGCCTTCCGCATGCTGTCTGCCCTTCAGCATCTGATCCTCCCAGGGAATAAGCTGGCAGCTCTGCCGGTGCTGCCCGGTGGCATCGAGTTCCTAGACGTTCGCCTGAATCGGCTGCGGAGCTCGGGGATACACCCTGGAGCCTTCAGGGTAAGCCAGGGCCTGGCGTCCATCACCTCCCACCGCCAAGCCCCACCTCCACCCACACATCATGCCCCCACGGAGTATCCCTGCTCCAACCCTGTCATGGGGTATAAAAATCAAACCCCATTTTTCATCCGTTTGCATTTGTTGTTTATTAAGATTCTTTTGGTTGCAAGAATCTGACGCTGACCCAAGAAAAGGGTGTTTTACAGCATGTCATCCCGAGAACCCACATGAACAGGAAACAGTACCATTACGCCTCACAGGCCTGTTACCAATGAGCATTTCCTTTGAGCGTCATGTTGGTGCTCAGAAAGTTTCAGGTTTTAGAGCATTTAGGATTTCAGTCTTTTGGATTTGGGATGTTCAACCTGCACTAGGAATGGGGGATCAGAAACCAAGGTCAACATCTCTTTCTCTCCCTCTGTGGGGCACATGGTCTCTTGTCTTGGCTTCTCTCTGTGCATCTGCTCCATGCACCTGTCTGCCCAGCAGTGTCCTCTGCGTACTCATAGGTTCTGCTCCCTGCAGACTCTGGCTTACACATGACTTTGCCTCGCAACAGAGCTGACTCCAGCCCTAACTCTCCGTATCCTTTTATTTCCCAAAGCTACCATTAAGTGACATATCGTTGTCTTTCTATAATCCAATTCGCAAGCGATACGATCTGATTGATCATTGGTTGGCCAGTTCTGATGGCAAGGGCTCAGTAATATGACACAAATGTGGCCCCTGGGGCCGCCCATCCAGCAGGGCTGGCAGAGCCCTGGGTGCAGGTGCAGGGAAGAGGTGGAGCGTGAACAAGCGCGCTGCTCGAATGATGAGAGTGGCTTTCAAAGACCGATTACTCCTCTTTCAGTCTCAGCTCCTTCGTGTGGGCTTTGAAGTGCTCGCTCTCTCTCGAGTGGTAGAATCTGTTTCACAAACTAATTCATATTTAGAAGCATCAAATAAATCTAATTAGAGCTGCCTTTTTGAAAAGGGTGAGGGCACAGAGGCATGCCTGCTTGCTCCCTCCCCAAATACCTTCCACCCTCTCAGTCTTCTCCCATCTGCAGTGGCCCTTGAGGGGGGATAATGGAACACGGTATCAATAGCACTGTTGTGGTGGGAAGAGCACTGGACCAGGAGTCAGAAACCTGCCGCTAGACCTTGGGCCTCAGTGCTTCCATCGCTAAGCGAAGAACTGGGATTGCAGGATCACTGAAGTCGCTCGCCGCTCCGGCCTAAGAAACATCCTAGCTGTCTCCATAGTAGGAGGTGCTGCTTTGCCTTGACTTGGGGCTGTTTTCTCAGCCCGGGGTAAGAGATGGGCTTTGGAGCCAGAGAGACCTGGGTTTGTGTGAGAGTCGCCTAACCTCTCTGATCTTGTTTTCTCAGCTGCAAAATGAAGGTAATAATACCTAGTTGACACTGCTGCTGGAAGATTAAACAAGATAGCATTTGTAAAGAGCATAGGAGGATTAAATACACACAGTAGCTGCTCCATCAGTGGTAGCTACCATTCCTCCCTGCCCTCGGAGCCCCCCGAAGGCTTATCTCTTCCCAAACCCTCTCTGATTAAGCCACCGACTCAGAGCCCTAGACTCACGCACCCGCTTTGCCTCTGTGTGCCTCACCCTGCTCGTTCCGCCTGTCTGGGTGTCTCCCGAGCGTGCTCTCCACCTCTGCTCCAGGTTTAGCGTTCGGAGACTTTTCCTTGGGGAAAGTCCCTTCTGAGAGCAGAGAACTTGAGGCTGAACTGAAATGTGCCCTGGTCCACCCTTCGTCCCTGTCCCTGCCCCACCTGCACCTCCCAGGCGTCATTAACAGCCGACTGGCTCCCTTACACCCCAGCTGCCGCACATCAGCGGCAGCAGCTTTCCTTGTGTATCCAGCTGGAGCTGGTGTCTGTAACTCCTTACAGACCAGCGCGTGCCCTGCAGCACGGCTGCGGCTAAACAAACCCTGCAGCCTAAACAAACCCTGAGTGAATGAATGGGGACACCTGACTCTGGCTTCACCAGGCCCCTTCTCTCTGCCAGGGCCCGCCAAGACCCTGCAGCCTCCCCACCTCTTTGCATTCTCCACAGGCGATGAAGAAGCTGCAGTTCCTCTTCCTGGCCGACAACCTGCTGGAGTCCGTCCCTGGCCCTTTCCCCCTGAGCCTGCGCTCGCTGCACCTGCAGGTGAGAGCGTCACCCAGAGCGAGGGCAGCGCACAGCGCACAGAGGACAAGCTAGTTAGATAGCCGGGCAGGTCCCGGCAGCGGCAGTGCAAGGCCTAGGCAGCGGTGGGGTCTCCTTTGCTGGAGGGTTTAGTGGACACAGGACTGGTAGGTCTCGTCGAGGTAATGTCCATGGGCCCAGTTTGATTTTCTCCATTTCTTCTTTTTAAAACACTTCTTCTCCCTCCATGTCTTTATTTCGTCTTGCCCAGTTGCTTTTTCTTCTTCCTTTTTCCTACCCTCTGTCTCTCTTCTTCCTCCTTCTCTTCAGTCTTCGCCTCCTTCCTCTCTCTTCCTCTTCCCTTCATTCCTCCTAATCTCTGCCCTCTCTCTCCATCCACCTCCTGTGGGCCTCCTCTTCTCACCCCTTGTTGTGTGGCCTTGGCCCCATGGGCCTCAGTTTCTCCACCTGCACAAGGGAGAGGCTTTAGTGCTGCCTAAGGGCAGGTCCTCTAGGCGGGGCTCAGCCGCCCTGTGTTCTTTCCAGAATAACAGGATAGAGACCATGCAGAGAGACACCTTCTGCGACCCTGAGGAGCACAAACACACTCGCAGGCAGCTGGAAGACATCCGCCTGGATGGCAACCCCATCAACCTCAGCCTCTTCCCCAGCGCCTACTTCTGCCTGCCCCGGCTCCCTGTAGGCCGCTTCACCTAGTCTGACTCTGCCGCTCCTCCCTGGCCAGGGCCCTCTAAGGACCACCGAGGGCACGGGGCCCAGGCCAGAGAGCCCAGTCCCGTATCTCTGAGTGCTCTTTAGTGCAAGCATTAATCAGCCTTGTGATCCAGTTGCAAAAATCACATACCCACCCCAACACATGCACACACACACACTCATACCGAAATGTCCTTCCGTACATGAATTTGCATTTCTCCATCCTCTTTTCCTTAACACCTATGGCCCTGGCTCAGAGAACAGCAACGTCTGCAGCAAAGGGCCCTTCCATATTCCCTGTCCCTCCTACCCACACAGAATGTCAGGGAGGCCACGAAAGAGGAAGAGGAGGAGGAGAAAGAGAAGGAGAACAGAGGAAAGAAGCGGGGAGCAGGGGGTGGAGGCGGGGAGGGAAAGCAGCGGGAAGGGGGAAGAGGAGGGAAGCAGTGGTATGCTGAGTCAGCTCTTACCACTAGGCTTGCAGAAACCAATTATTTAATTTCCCAGAATTTTGCAAATCAGTTGTTAAACACGGCCATTATGAAAAAGTAAATTATATAAACTTGTGATTCAATACATCATGTTGAAAACAAATGCGATAAATAATCAAAACGCATCACTTCCCAGTTATTTCACTGTATTTTACCATTGACCGTGCTCCTGGAGTTATTTGAGTCCGGAGCACTGTACAGTGGGAATTCCACGCAGTGGTGTGCTGCTGGGTGTCTCCCCAACTCCTCGCTCAGTGACGTCACACTGGCAGTTTAAAATTGTCCATGGTGGGGGTCAGAAGTCGATAAATGCAATAAATCAGGATTTGTCTGGAGAGCTGATTGTTAAACGTTTGCCAGCACACCACTGAGGAGAAGGAAGAGCTATTTAAACCAGCTCCCCGCTACCCCACTCCACCCTGCTGGGAGTGAGGCTGGGTTTCTAGGGAGCATCACTTCATTTCTTGCTCTTCCTAGAGGGGGCCTCCTGTTAGATTGGGAGGGAGCCGTTCATAAGGATGGAGAACTGACATGAATCTTCACCTGGAGGTGCTTCCCCTAACCCTAACCCTAACCCTAACCCCAACTTGCCTGTTCCCCGGCTCAGCAAGGCTCAGCCCGCTGGATCCTGGCCACTGGGGTTTCCATCCTTCCCAGGCGCGCCTGCACGTTCAACCACAAGAGGGCAGCCTTGTGCAAAGCTAAATATTTAATGACTAAATAGGCTATTGCAGACTTTTGGATCCTGGGCAGGGCTGCCACCCTGGGAGGATGGGAAGAAGGGCAACTGTTATGTAGCTGACGACTTGTTCCTTGAATTGTAAGGGAAGGAAGATGCAACCCTTCCCTGCCCCTCATAAGGAGATGTTGGGCAATGGGGATGCAGTGGACGGGTGCTGGGCGTCGGGTTGACTCAAGCGCAAAAGGGAGCGGAGGCAGGCAGTTCACTACCTACCTGCTCTGTGCTGGTGATGGGACGATGTGCAACAGGAGCATATTCCTTTCCCTTGCGGAGCCTGGAGTCTGGTGTGGAAGACAGGTGTTAAATGAGTAATCACACAGATAGCCACACTCTTCAACTCACGGCACATGCTATAAAAGGAATGTGCAGAATGCTGTGAGAGCTTGCAGGAGGCGGGCCAGGTCTAAGGGTCCAGAAGACCTTGCAGAACTGAAGTTTAAGCTGAAACCTGAAGAAGGAGTAGGAGTTAGCCAGGCAATGGGTTGCCAAGGCAACTACTCAAGGTTCCAGGTGGGTGGTCCCCGAGTCTGGAGGGACAGGTGTTCCTTGTGGTCCACATGGAAGGGAACCCACTTATCTGCCTCCCCCTACCTCTGTCTAGCACCTCACTGAGCGCTCAGGATCCTCTGACAGTCCTGTAAGCAGACAGTTAGCAATTATTACCCACATTCTTCAGATGAAAAAATCGAGAACTAGAGAAGATCAACCACTTACTCGAGCTCACAGGGCTCACTGGAGCTTGGACCGAGACTCGTCACGCAGGCTACGCACTGGCAGTGGGCAGTCTTGACGGCACTGAGAGGTGCCCTCCTGCCACTGCTGCGGTGTCTGCCGTCCCTCCTGACGATTTCAGGGTCCCAGCACACCTGGCCCCAGGGGAGGATGAAAAAAGCAGTGAGCCAATAGCTCCTTGCCTTTCAGAGCGGTAGAGCCCTCACTGGGCCATCCTTTGGCCTCTTCCTGTCTCCCAGGGGGTTTGTTACAACAGAATCTCTCTCTCTCTCCTTCTCCCCCACCAACCGCATTTTATCCACCAACCCTGTCCCCTTCCATATCCCATACCCACTACAACATCCTGCTGTGTGGGATTATGACAAGGCTTAAGCACACAACAGCTGAAGGCCTTAAGTTCCCCAACTTCAAGAAACCCTGGATTGAAGGAATCCAATGAGAAAAAAAAAAAAAAAACCATAAAGAAGATTTTCCAGAACTGGGGCTACTGGATGCTGGAGGCCACATCATACCCAGATGCCCACAGCTAATCTGTGCTGAGTACAGAAAGTCACCTGCTCTATTGTGGGAGAAGGGAACTAACAGTTCCTGGACTCCTGGAGTTTGCCAGGTACCATAATAGAAGCTTTAATATGCATCAACTCGTTTAATCCCAACAACAACCCTAGAGACTAGTAGGGATGTTGTCTCCACTCTGCAGGTGAGGAAACAGGCTTCTGAAAGGGAAACGGCCCAAAATTCAAATGGAAACACTAGTGGCAGAGCTGGGATTCAAACCCAGGTCCATCTTGCCTGAGTCCAAAGTCCTGCCCTCCATCACATTCCAATGCAGGCACTGCTCTCAAGCTTCAGTGGAAGGAGGCAGCTCCAGACAGTTTCTCCCTGAGGCCATTGCCGCTACACTGGGTGGGATTTCCCCGGGGCCACTGCCTCTGCAGCTGTCTCCTGACTAAGCCTCCATTTTTGGCTAGGGAAGCCCGAGGAATAGAAAGAATGCCCTTGTTGGCTGTCTCCCTGAAGAAATTCTAAACAGAGCATCTGTCCCTCTGCCCCGGGGCGGGGAGGGGAGTGCGGGGGGGGGGGGAGTGAGCCAACTGCGTTCCAGCAGCTGTTCCATCCCGATCTTGACACAAAGGAGCCCTAGCTAGGGTTGAGTGACAGGCAGGGACGGCAGAGAGCCCCTCTTTATCCAGAGTGAGAGCCTCATGTCCTGCAGAACGGTAAGATGGCGAGAGCGGCACACAGGGCAGATGCGAGCCATCCCCCAGAGAACAAACAGGAACGGGTGCAGAGGAGGGGCTGGCGGGGTCCGGCCAGGCAGGCCAGCCGGCAGTCTAGGTTTGCTTAAAAGCCACCTCCTCCAAGAGCCCGCCTGTCCTGACTCACCCGGCCAGGTCCTTAGTGGCCTGTCAGCACCTGTGCTTGACCTTGGCGAGGGCGCTCGCTCTCAGGAGGCTCCCTGGTGGCTGTCTAGCCAGCCCTGTAGGAAGAGGAGCACCTCCCCACTCTGGGGCACCCCAGGCCTTCAGCAGGGCTCCGCTCTAACCTGCTCTGTGAGTGGTAGCGGGAGGAGGTAGAGGGGCAGAGGCCAGGGCCCCTGTCTCTGTAAGAAAAAGGACGAATTTGCAATGACCACCCCCAATACCTGCCCCATCCTCAACTCCACGGTCCTCAGTTTCCCTGAAGGTCACCCCGCAAGGCCCGGAGGAGGCTGTGGGGAACGGAGGGCGGTGGAGCTGGAGCCCAGGCCCTTTCAGCAGCCAGGGCATTTGCCCATCCCGACCTTGCCCTGCTCCCTTCCTGCTTCCTTTGCCCTTTTGTCTCCTCCCTGGGAACAGTAATCTCTTACGTTTATGCTATAAATTTGCACTTTACAAAGCGCTTTTACCATGGGCTCTAATCTGATAGTCCCAACAAGCCTGTGAGGAAGGAATTATTATCCCTCGTTTTAGACAGAAAACAGGAGGCCAAGTGCTTTGTCCAGGAGAAAGATGACTTCACATAAACAGTATACAACATATAAAAACAAGAGCTCGTGGGGGTGGGTTGCAGCGAAAGCAGCATTTCTTGGGAACTCCTGCAGGAGAAAGGGGAAATCCACCTCCACCTCCTGGGCCAGTGGATTAGCGCCCTCCACCCACAAAGTGCTTTGAAAAGCAAGCTCTGGGAAGGGCCTGCGCCAGCAGGATCAGGGCCTGCATCCTTAGGAGGCACATGAGGTAATGAAGGATCTCAGCGCAGGAAAACCTCGGCGCTCAAGGACACACAGCCCCCCATCTCCACCCCACCTCCGCATGCCCGCATCTGCGTCCTTCCTGCTTCTGGCTAGGAGGGAAGCAGACAGATGAGGTGGCCACAGCTCGGCCCCACCCCCTGCCCGTCCAGATCTCTCTCTCCCAGCTTTCTCCTTCCTCCTCACCTGCCCCTCCCCTCTCCCCTGCAGGAGACACCAGCTCAGTTTTGCCTCTCCTCTCTCTCAAGGTCGTCTCGGCCCAGCCAACATCACCTTCTACAGCAGCCGCCGTCACTGTCCCCAGGCCTCCCTCCTGTGGTCACCAGCAGTGCACACGAAGGTCTCCACATAGAGGGAGGATGCCTGCTTTTTTTCCCCCGGGGCTCCCACGTCTCCCTTCTCCCCCTGGGTGACAAAGAAGCCAAGGTCCCACCTCCCTCGTGCTTTCTTGCAATAAAATTCCCCATAGTGAGGCCCCTTATCTTCAGCCCAGCCTGTCCAGCCCTTCCAGACTTGGCCAAACCCGTGGCCTAGACCTTCCCAACCGGCACTTACAGGATGCTGCCCTCCCCCTTCCTCCCTGCTCTCCCTCTGCGTCCTTGCCCTACGCTCCCCCCTCCCCCCCTCTGCACCCAGGCGCCAGAGCAGGCAGCGCTTAGTTTCCTCTGGCACGGTTCAGACACAGGAGGGCGCGTTTCACACCATGGCACCTACAAAGGAACTGTGGTGCAAGGGAGTGAGCACTGGACTGAGAGTCTGAAGACCTGCATTTGACCCCCCGTGCCCAGACGTCATGTGTAACTTCCGGCAAATCACGCCAGCGCCTTTC